TATTTTATAAAAAAAAAAAAAAATGAGAAGAGGAAAAAGGCCTTCATCTGTTTATTTGGCTCAGTGAAGAGATCAGCTGTGCTTCTATGATTGCAGAGGATGGAATGCTGGAGGGGGAAAATGTATAGCTGTATGCAACCATGTGTTTGTGTTCATGATGCATAATGTATAGAGTTAATTTTGCTTGATTATGTCTCAGAGCTCAATGGGAATGAAGATACCTTCATGCCCATGGTTAAACTTTTGCACGTTGACTACCATGAATGCAAATTTTAACCCTGCACTTTCCATATACCTCCTGTGTGTTTGTATGGTGTTATGTATTCAGCCATAAGCAGGCACCTAGTGACAGTTCTTGGTCATGCTTTATATTGGACCAATTGTCTCAAATAGAAAATGTCAGTCTGGCTGTTGAGGAAAATAAGTTAAGGAGTTTCAAGATGCAAATATATTCCCAAGGCTCAGGTTTCTGTGTGCATAAAGAGCAGTAGCAAAGTATTTTTGTATTGGCTTACTTTAAAAACACTGTCACAGAATCTGATAGCAGTGCTAAGAAAAATAGTTTGTGGAAAAGTGGTCTTCATTACTGACTGCAGACCGTATGAGTGCTGGGAAGGAGAGACTGGACTTCCTTGTTAAAACACTTCTGTGCTCCTAATCTGCCTGGCAAATCATTGGAGAGTAAATGATAATCTGAGTTGTTTGTTTGAAATGTCATACATCTCCACCGCAGCCTGCCCACACCAGTAGACTTCTAGGAATTAAGGAGCATGGGAACATAAACACCTACACTGCATTTAAACGTGAATTAGCAAAAGCCAACAAATAAGGAACAATTTTAATTTATGTATTAAAATACTCTGGAGGATACAGATTAACCTCCATTACTCAGGGTTTGTCACTGTCTCATCTCCTTTGGACAGCAAACACTGAGAAACAGACAGAAAGATGATTTATTCTTCCTTTAGCTTCTGTCTCGTCTGATGAAATGTCTGCTGTGCAGCTCCCCCAGCCGTGCTCCTCTGTGGGTCTGACAGCTCCTCATGCATTGCAGGCACTGTTTTCTCTCACGGTTGAAACTCACAGTTGTCTGAAAACTTTGCTAAAAGAGTTGAAGCCAAGCCTTGCTTTACTGGCAGACAGAGGCCCTAGGCTAAAAGGTGACGTATCTGAGAAAAGAGGAATCCCACAGAGTGAGCTTGCTGGGTCTGCTGCTGCGTGGCAAAGGGGAGAAGCTTTTGACAGAGCCTTTGCATCATGGGTACCACAGGGATAAAGTCCCCTGACTTAAAACATCACCTCTGACGGGGAGCTGTGCAGGAGCCAAGTAGCAGCCTTATAGTACCTCTGTTGATGCACTGTTGCTCTGCAAACTCTCCTTGTTCCTGCAGGAGGCTTCTGCTGACTTGCTGGAGAAACCCTCTGGGATAGATACAAATCAAACTGAATTAGAAGTACAGCTAAAGAGATAGGCACAGTCCATCACAGACACACCTGGTCACCTCGAGTCTTCTCCACTTGGAATATTTCTTAGGCTTTATTGAGCAAATGTGAGGATACTCCTCATTTGTTAAACAACTTTTCCAGTTGTGCCACTGCTTCTTTGTGTATATCTGTATGTATTTAGATAGACAAAAACATGCCACACACATACATCAATGCTTATCAACTCTCACTGGTCACAGCAGCCAAGTATGTCCCTAAAGAAAGATTGTGCCATAAAGCTTTTCCATAACATTGCTCATATAATGGTCACTATTAGATTGCAAATGACATATAAAATCAATGACATAAGATAATTTTATCTTTCCACAAATTTCCAGACTGACTGTGGATAGCTTAATGTGATAACAAGGCAATCAGCTCTGTAGTAATGCTTGTGGTCTTCCTCTCACATTCATTGCTAGTTTTCAAATGAGTAATGTTACCCTGGTGTAATGCTGATGAGAAAGGAGATCCAGCCTCCCTCTCCTTTGTCAGTAGAGTGTTTCCAGCTTGTGTGATGTGCTTGGCACCAGTGATATTTTAATATCGTTACCAGCAGGAAATACTTTTCTTGCCAGTAATGAAGTTCAGTATCAGCTGAATGTGGTGCTCCACAGGAAGACTTTAGACAAAATTGCCATATTCTGATACAAAAAAGGCTAGAAATACACTATTTTTGTGAAAGGCATGTGCTCAGTATGGGGTGCTTCGTGCCTTTCCTTGGAAAGGTTGTTCTTCTGCGAGGTGAGGTTTCTTGTCTGATTTAAGGTCTAGCAGTGTGCCAGGTGCAAGCTGTACTGAAGGAGAAGATTGGAGTTTCTACTTGAAGTTGTTACAGTTATTAAATAATTTCCTTAATTGTTTTGGAGACATAATCAGATACTTCAGCCTCACAGTAATGCTCCTCTGAAAATAGTGAGGCTGAGAGGTATTCATCTTACAGATCTTCACTTGGGAAAGGGAAAAGACATCAATGGATCTTGCAGATGCATAATAATAGGACATAAAAATAAACATGGAGTCAGGCAGGGCTCCTTGCTGGGTGTTATTGCAAAGCAGCAGCACAGGCTTTCTTCATTAGCAGAAAAGAGTATGTATACAGAGAGCACTTTACTTAGGCAGAGATAATTTGCTGTACCTTCTTTGCCTTCTATTTCAGCAGCAATTTTTTTCCCCATCCTCGCTGAGAGGAGCAAGTTTCGACTTTCAGAGTTTCACTGGGGAGATGAGAATTTTATTTCAAGCTCCATTTTATTTGATACTGCTTTGTCCTGATTTTATAAGTGAAATGTGGGTGTACGAAAAAGTGACAAGGCAGGGAGTACATGGGGTACATGGACTTCAGGAGCTCCAAAATCAAAACCTGATAAAGCTGGGCTTTAACCCTTACATAGAATAGGTGAATATTGAATACAAGAATAGGTGAAAAGATGAAAACTTGCCCAGTAGCTTGATTGGTTTCTTCATTTCTTTTCTGAGCAACCCTCATGACTTTGGGGGCAGTGAGGATTCAAATAAATATTTTGTAATAATAATTTCATTTCTTCTGTAAGGATGATCTTGTGCTTAAGACTAAGAACATAACCAGAAGTTGTAGGTTCAACTGCCTTCAAGAGCCTGAATACATTCTGTATCCTCTGATGTTGCTAATTACGCTCCAGATCTCAAAGAGACATTACTGAGAGCTACTTCCTACTTCATCCTCTTGTAGCTGACCCTAACTTACTCAGCTGTGCACTTTGCAGTGACAGTAAGTGGCTTTTTACCTCTTCAGACTAACCTCAAGGTTGGTTTTCACCATGCGCAAGCCATGAGAGAAGCAGTGATGGGGTTTGCTGGACAGAGCTCCTGGCTCACGTGAACAGTTACTGCCTGTGTTGGCACCCTGCTTGCCATTGACCAGAAAGTTGGGACAGGCAGAGGTACTGAAATGATCCTCGAGCATGTGCACAATAGAGACACTAGGCCAAAGCAAGTTATATGTGGGGATCTCAGCAGAGTTTCACCTTACCCTTTAGCGCTGTCAGGAGAGAGGCAGTTCAGGGCAGGACCAAACACAGACATTCGCGTGCCAAGAGAGCTGTATTGACAGCAACCACAAAGCTCCAGGCTGGCGTGGGAGTTTTGGGGATTGTGCCTTCCCTGGCTCGTTCTGAGGGATCTCTGTTTTGGGCACCATATAGCAGGCATTATAGTTGCATATGAAATCACTTGTGTAGAAAAAGCAGCCTATTCATGAGCAGTAGCATCCTCATATCAAGTACAACTGCAGACATGGCTGAGAAAACAACTATTTAATTGAATAAGAAATGACACTGGAAAATCCAAAGAGGGTGCAAAAACTTCCCCCAGTTTGTTTGGAAGCAAATCCTAGACATGTAAGGCATGGATCCAGTTTGTTTCCTTAGGTGATCCCCTAGACTCTTAAAATAAAATACATAGTTTAGGATAATCCTTCTCTGGTTCCTCTGAGCACAGAGCATGCTGCAATGGACAAAACCCCACTTCTAAGAGCCTGTCCCCCCCTCCAAATTTAGAAGCTGCTGCCTGCCCCTGCAGTGGGATTCCTGCAAACACAGCCTGCCTCTACAGTGCTTCATTTTGTGGTATTCCCAACATTAATGCCTCCGGGTACAGCGTGTGGCTGTGCCTCAGGCACTGTGCCCACACAGCAGTGCTGTCTGCCCAATCTGTCATTGCCCAGGCTCTTGCCTGTGCAGACCATTTCAGAGCTGAGTCTCAGAGGCTGAGAAAGCGCTGGGAAGAAGCACAGCCATAGCAAAGCATTTCTGTCCTCAGCTCTGCTTATCCAAAACCAGCTCCCGCAGCTCCCTTCTGTAATTTCTTCCCAGTTCTGTAGCATCTGTCTGAGCTCTCAGCTGTTCTGCCACGAGCGAAGGTGCCAGCACCCTTTAATCACTATGGAAAAGTATGGGTGCATTCCCCATCCTGGAGGAAAGAAGAAGGACAAAGTTTGGGGTTTGGTGTTGTTTTTGCTTGCAGAAGACAAGCACTTGCCAGAGATAACAAGGAGAGGTTCCGAGGTTATTCACAAGTTAACCAGCCTCTGAAAGGAGAGGACTGCACGCAGTGCCAGATAAGCCTGTAGCAGCCGCACCCCTGCATCAAGCAGTTAATACTCCCTTTCCTCTCCGGGGGAATGTCAGGGGTTAATTCAGTAGCTGTGCATTTAATAGCTCAATTTAAAGGGGAAAAAATGACACCCTTCTCCCCTGCCTTGCTGGTTGTGGATGGTTTGCTCTGTCTCGTTGATCACATGCTCCCCGAGCCCCTAGTGCTGCAGAAGCCCCAGCTGCTGCTGCTGATGAGCCAGTGCTGCTCAGGATCCGTCCTGGTCCCTGCCTGTCAATGCCTTGCAGTCCCGACCTCCTCTTTAAAGGAGGGAGTGCACAGGATGAGCTCTTGAGCATATGGGTGGAAATCTGGGAGGCACCCATTCTATCACCACCGTTTCCAGCTCTAACCATGTCTATTTGTTGTTGTCTTTTTTTCAGGGACTATGGATCTTCAAAGAGGAAATCAGGTAAGATACCAAGCTTTCTGGCTTTCTGTGTACTGCATGATTACAGAGAGGAGCTTCCCATGTGCCCCCTTCACCCTTCATCCCACCCCCTCTTCAACACCGCTTCCCTTAAACCTTCCCTTTACCTTGCGTGGCGTTAAATTGTGTAGCAGTTTAACTTTTTGTTGCTGAAGCCTGCTAGAGACAGGCATCAGCTCTTTGCACTGGAGAGGAAAAGAAACCCACCACATATAGTATTGCAGTTAAAATGACTGCTCTCCTCTGACTGTGTTTATACAGCTCCTTCTTCAGTCTGAGATAATAATTGTATTAAATTTCTCTCTCTCTTTTTTTTTTTCTTAAGTCATTCTTTACCTGAGCAAACAGTCAAAATGCAGCCTGAGAGCGGGGTTCTTTTCCAAAGGGGAAGGGAATGCTTTTCTGGTCTCCTTGGAATCTTTTACCTTTGCTTTTCCAAAAGGGTCTGATGTAGCTTCTGATGCATAAATGCTTTCAATGCCTGTGTCTGGATTTGGGCTGCTTCAAAAGCTGTAGCTCAGTGTTTTGTTTTTAAGCTCCTGGATTCAAATGTCCCATAAAACCCTAATCTGAAACTATATAAATCCAACTTTTCCCCTCCCCTTGTAGCTCCTAGTGATTTTTACAGATGTGTTTTCAATAGGGACATGTAATTATGGGCCTCTGGGTTTGGCTCTGCTGCGCTGGATGTGTCAGGGCTTTCTCTTTTTTTTTTCCTTTTATTCTTTTCTCTCCATGCTGCATTGAGCACCTGCAACTCTCATTGACTTTGTTTGGAGTCTTGGGTGCTCCCAGTTGTATTCAGGGCATCCAAAGAGAGGCCTTTCAAACCCCTAGCAACTTGTGGAAAACTCTGCCCTGTGTACAGGGGAGAGGAGGGTTTTTTTCTCTTCTTGCTTTTTAAGATGATGAAGAAACACAGCAATGGCTTAATCTTCGGGAAGGAAAGAAGATGAATGTAACATACTGCTCTCCAATGAATGTCACTGCCTAGATTGATCTGTTGGTTAATTATGAGAGCTTTTAAGCTGCAGGTCTCTAATAAGCTAAGTGATGCACTAAAGCAAAGCTCTTGCTTCACCCCGGTGTCCTGTACATTAAATGGATATTGCCTTTGCAGGCCAATACTTTAGGTATCCTTTCCCTGAGGTTTGTTGTGGTACTGAAGAGGCAAGCGTGGTACTAGGTGCTGGCCCAATGTGCTAAACTATGGTATGCTTCATTTGCCTAATCTACAAAGATTATCTGGATTGCACTTCTAGGATCTCCTAAATGTAGTATTACAAGTGTAGTGTTTGTTCATGGTGGCCTGTGACTTATATTGGCAGCGGCACTTTCTCTAGAGGAGCAGACCATAAAGGTGAAGTGACCCTGTAGAAGGCAGAATTGAGTGTGGGAGCTCCTGATGCAGCGACACATCCTGAGCGCTGGGCGTTTTGGGCCATGTAAAGACCTTTGAAAAACAGCACTGAAGTCTCTGGGGCAACCTGATTTAGCAGTGACCTAGAACAGCATTAGGAAACCAGGAAAGCTTTGGGCTCAGTGCACCAGTTGAGACACACAGGAGTTGCAATAATCTTGTAAGAGATGTGAGGATTGCTTTGGGAGTGTGAGGAAACTGCTGCTCCTCCATTCTTGTGGCTCTGGAGGGAAGTTGGAGCTGATCTGCTATGGCATTAGGGGAAGAGGGATTGAGTCAGTGTAGCTGAGATGCCATTTTTGGATGCTGCCCTGCTGGGTTCTTTCTGGCCTCCTGCCCAAGTGATGTGTTCCTCCATCCTGTGAGGGATGGAAGCTCAAGTCAGGCTCCCTCCCTTGCCTGTCCCACCTCCACATGCTGCAAGGTCTCCTTCTGGGACTGTTTCCTCTTCTCTACTTCTAGGTGCTTGGCCCCTTGCACAGCTACAGCCTGGAAGCAGTGGGATTTAGGGATGCTCTTTCTTCATTTAGCTGCTATGAAGAGGAATGTGAAGCAGTTCTCTGACCACATGAGAGCTGCATAAAGGGACTCTGTTCCCAGCCATCCTCTTGCCTGATTTTAGAGCAGAGGAGGAATGCTTCCTTCTGTTCAGAGCTGGATATTGTGGGAGTGCTCACACAATGAGCGAAGGAATATGCCAAAGGAGTTGGTAGTTGCAGCCTCTAACAAAGACCGGCTTTATGACACTCAAACAAGTGGTGGGGTAAATAAGCACAAATTTCCAGGGTGTGCTGTGAGAGCCTTTTAAGGTAACAAATAGCTTTGAAATGTAGTTTCCTCTAGGTGCAGACACTACTCTGTCTTTAAACAAGAGACAAATAGGCACTTTAAAATGCAATCATCTCCCAACAAATCAGGCCTGTGAGCACATCTTCTGCCTTGACCAAAGATGTGGTGGGAGGGGGCTCTGGGGCACGAGCACAGCTGTCCCACACTGTCCAGCAGGAATCCCACAGCTGCTGTGTCTCAGGCATGTGCAGGCACAACACGAGCATGGCCTGTTGCAGAAACATTTGGGGAATGCCTCTGACAGCCAATGTCACCTCTACCCTGACCTCTGCCTTGCCAGAGTGCGTGTCTAGCTAGTCCTGTGCTCGCTCCTTAGAGCAATTAATCCAAGTTCAGAGTTTAATAGGAGTTATGGAAACATTTACTGCTGCAGCTGATACCGGTTGTAAACATTTGAGACCTTCTGAACCAAATGCAATAGCATGGCATGTCCTTAACTAAACAGAAGGGAGTCTAGGGTACCTCTACATGCCAGCCCTGAGCCCGGCTTCCTCTAGTGTGAAGAGCTGTATAAACACGCAGCCCTTTACTTGGATATGACCTAATTATAAATGATTTGACCTGCAGTCAGCTCACAGACCTGGCGTTTCACTGAATCAACTGAGGCTCTGTGTAGGCATGGATATTTGTTGTGGCCTGAACTGCCACATGTGCTGTTTGTTGCTTTGGATTTGTGGGGTTTTACTTGACATGCTGCAGAGCTGCTTCAGAAAGCTGCCTTCATGTTACCAGGCAATTGTTGCTCTATGACCATCTGTCAATGCGGAGGAGACCTCAGTACAACTGTGAGGAGCGGTTACCATGGGCATGTTCTGTGCACTCACAACAAATGGTCTCGTCTAGGTCTCTCCAAAGACCCTCTGTAGCAAAAAAGGAAGGAATTGCTTTCCAGACTCCAATTTGTCAATCACATTAACCAAGTGAACAGCAACTCATTTGTCACTCAAAAAGGCACCACTACCATCATTGTGTGGTTTTCTCTGCTCAGATCAAAATAAGGGCAGAATTGCTGCAAGTCTAGTAATGGATATTTGCATGGAACATTACAAACCACAAATTAGGTTAATCCACTCCACAAACCCTACCAGCTACCATCTGTGCCTGGGGAACTAATTAACCCTTGAGACATCTGCTAATCCTGATGTGGCTTGTAGAACCAGTCGGGGTATATATCTTTCCAGGGAGGTCCCCTGTGTGTTGCTTCCCTCTCTCCCTACCCTTGCCAGCTCCAGTAAGTTTCAGACTCCTGGAGTAAGATGATCTTGCCTTCTGCCCTTGCTGAGAATCTTTCCTGGCTGGCTTCATGCCAGAGTTGTTAACACAGTCCCCAGTCATGAAGCTGAAGGAAGCATCTGGGACCTGGTGTTTGGTGGCAGCAGCAGCTTTTGCACACTGAGTCTCAGTGATCCTCAGTTACTGAGAGTGCTCTCCTGACAACGGTGGGGTTAGATGCAGCGGAAGAGATGCTGCTTTGCCTTTGCTTTCAAAGCTAAGGCATGCTTCTCTGCCACCTGCCTTGTAGGCAGCCAAGCCCTTGTGCTTACTGCTTTCAGTGTGCACTAGCAGGAGCCCTGCTGACCACCACCTTTTGAAATCCTAACAAAAACCCCCATTGCTTGCTCACTCCCACTGCTCTGACTGCCCTGCTTGCTGCAGGGGGCACAGCTGGCTTCAAGCTGCTGCTTAGTGGCTTTCTCTGGCAGTTTATTGCTATGTGGTAGGATGCTCCTCCAAATGAGAGGGAATAACCTTAGAGTTCATGGCCCCATCAGTGCTGCAGTGTCTCTTTCTCAGCTGACCAGAGAAGTACATCAAGCTGGCTGTACTTTGGCTGAGTCTGCCAGCTGAAGTCTATATAAATAGCCCCTGTAATTGAGCACTTAGAATATTAACTTAACAGTTTGGTCCAAGCCAGTGTTGCCTCAATAAGGATGCTGATGAGGCTTGGCTTCCTCAGCAGAGAGAACTATACTTCAGCTTAGTTCCCATGTCCAATATTTGGATCAGTAGAATATGGCAGCACCCAGACAACAATCTCTGCTTCCTTTCCCTCCTGTAATCTAAAACTGGGAAGGATGTCTTTGCTGGCAAGTAAATAATAAAAACTTCAGAGTCCATTGGAAGCTACTTCTCAGACTTTTTTACAGAAACATCTGTAATGCTCTCTTTTTCCCCTCAGAAGGGAAATCAAGTACAATTGAGAGGGTTGCAGCAGTGACCGAAGTGAGAAACAAGCAGATCACTGTAACATCAAGGGCCTTCCTGGGTGCTCACTTTGTGGGATTGCTTCCGTGTGCTTATGGGTAGAACTGATGACAAGAACTGTTTCTTTAGCCAAATTCTTCCTTACTAGGGAAACCTTCACACACAAAGGATGTGTGCTGTCAGCTTCAGGGAGATGTCTTGATTGTAATTTCTTTATCTGGGATAGGGCTTTTTCCTGCTTCCTTTGTAATTACAAAGGGAAGTGCCTTACCTCTTTGGCTTTTTATGTCTTTGCAACTGAGCTGTGCTCATCACTTCAGAGCTGAGCCCTTCTGGTCCTGTCACACTGCGTATGTCCAGTGTGTATTTACAATTCCATGGCATGTGATTGGTTTTGGTTCTGGGTTTGGTTTTGTAGGTTTTTTTAATAAATGTACTTTATTTTCTTAACTTCAGTTTGAGCTGCCTCCTTTGAGGCAATATGGAGAAATGGCATGTGCTAGCCTTT